CTTCTGAGAAAATGTATCCATCTCTTGGTAGAATACAAATAGTTTGCATTAAAGGGCTGCTGCCCAGACCCCACTGAAGGAGTGGCTATGGAAAGATTGCACACTCTGTTACCTTTCTAAGGAACCACAATTCTGATTCTAAATCACTTTGGGCCCTCAGTTTCCTTCCATGGAAGAGACTGGTATCTCTACCTTACTGCTTATGGCTGCTAACAGCCACTATACTTCAACAGAATGTATATGAGTGTGCAGGTAGTAAAAAAGTTATAGGCAACAGGAAATTCCTAATGTTCCAGCACTCTGAACAGCTCACCTCACTTAGTATTTGGTCTATAGTATTCCATGTCCCTTTTCAAGGTTCTTCCCGAAAACCTTGAGGTTCTAACTCTTTCCTGTTCTTACTTCAGTGAGGAAAGATCACATTTCTACTCCTATCCTCTCTAGAACTTACTCTCTAGGCTACAGGGAAAAATTTAATAACAATGGAATAATAGGCATGACTCTGTGAGCCCGTCTGGTGGGTGGTTTCTTACTTTTGAGACTCTCCAGCATGGGCACCTGCCATCTCAGCATCCCCAGGCACAGACATGGAAGGTGACATCCCATTCATTTACATGATATGTGTCTTTGTGATCTGGGTCACTGGGTGTTTTTGCTAAGAGGCAGGGACTTCATAGATGGGTGTTGCAGGAGTGCTAAGCAAAGGGAAAACTGGGATTGTTCCCATTGAAACCTCCTTCACCTTTAAACTCCCATCCTGGATGCCTGTCCCCAGGACCCTTTGAGTGGAGGTTTGAGGCTCCATGTGTCAGAGGTACAAGCTTCACACATAAAGCTGGAGTCAAATACCATGGTGACCAACTCTCAGCATCGCCGCTGTACCCACAATGGGATTGTGCGTATGGCTTAGGAAGGTGGGACCTTTCCTCCGCTACCTGCAACTTCATAGCCAGCACTGATTCTAGGAACCACTGACATTTCCAGTGTTGGGAAGGAAAGGGGAACTGGAAGCTGTAATGCGAGTGTTGGCTCTCATGATGTTGTGGGTGGAGGTGACAATATGACCTCTCCATGCTCGCTCAGGGTAAAGTGGACATCCATGATGCTTAATGAGTAAATTATGATCAAACTGCTGTCAGGCATTTGTTTGCCACTTACTAGTTGCTCACCTCAGCCAAGTAATTTGTCTTTTTGGCATTTATATCTCAATTCCCTCATCTGATAGCCTGAAGAATATCGTCATGCAGTCATGGTTAAGAGCATTAATTTTGAGAATTTCCTGCGTGCCTGATTCAACAAACATTGCTCAACAGACCTATGAATACATGTTATCTAATTCCTTTATCTTTCTGGCAAATTAATACTGTAAATGTGACTTTACACACATTGTCTCATCACATTGCTCGTTTAAGATTTCTACTTTCTAGGGACTCCTCTTTTTTGCTTTCTCAGGAATTCTCACTTAGCAATTTTCTTCTTCTTTTCACCATTCTTCCTTAAGCCAATCTCCCCTCACTAGTTACTGTCCATAACAATGTATTAGGCACAGTAAAAATGGGCCCACAAGGCAGTCTCCAGACATATCCAGCTTATTTTTCTGTTTTCATCTCTGTTTGAAATAAAGGGAAACTTCACATATAAAGTGTACAAATACATCTTTTAAGACACACCCACTAGTTTACCATCTCCACTCCTCCCATGGTTGTGTGCTCAATTACCTTCTCACAATGATCCACTTCTACTCAAATGTTTTTAAAACAAAGCTCCCAACCCCTAACATCCATTCATCTAGGGTGTGTTCATTTTTTCCTTCTGTCCCTCTCAATATCTCCTCCTGGAACCACAGGGGCTGATTGGTACTCATCTGTCAGTGAAGAGGCAGTGAAGAGGCAAAGGTCACATGAGATAACATGCACCAGTCTGGCTCCATGGAGAGGGCTCACAGAAAGTGTTCAGTGAGTGTTAGAGCATGCATGGTCCCTTACATGTACTGTGATAACTTGTAT